ACTTTCAGTGCATTCCGCATTACTACAGCTCATATTAATTTGACGCGACGTCTGTATCGTAGTAGTACATTTGTAATGTTTATAAAATTGGATAGCCATCACTGCATCCCCAAATAACGCTTCACTAACATTCCAGTTTATTTCATACGCAGTTGTGAGACCTGACGTAGCTCTGTGGTAGAATACATGGTTGCCAAGCAGAATACTGGGGTGGGACTTCTGCTGGGACCCTGACGTTTTTTTTCTACTCGTTTGTCAACGCAGCCAATGCCAGCTTTTTCTTAAGCTCACGTGTTCTGATTACCCATGTGTGTTGTCGCCGTTCCTGGGTCGATCTGAAATTGGAATCACCTGTGACACACACCCAACCGTGGGTATGCGCCACTGTTTGCGGAAAGCGCTTAACGATGTACGCGACAGGATTGTGGCAAAAAAGTCACAGCTTTGCAGCAAAGGCGAACCAATGAACGCGATAGCAACAAACTGGAAGTTCATGCGCAGAATGGCAAGCAGATCGAAACGTGCCCCGCGTTTCTCACGCACAAAGGACGCACGAAACGTACTCACAACTACGCAGATTAACGCGAATAAGCGTCTCAGTTGTTACTTCGCTGTCTGAAAAGCGTGCCATTTTCGCAAACGGAGGCTGTGCAACGATTGATTGATTGATTGATATGTGGGGTGTAACGTCCCAAAACCGCCATTTAAATATTAGAGACGCCGTAGGGGAAGAAATTTCGACCACCTGGGGTTCCTAAACGTGCACCCGAATCTGAGCACACGGGCCTACAACATTTCCGCCTCCATCGGAAATGAAGCCGCCGCAGCCGGGGTTTGATCCCGTGACGTGCGGTTCAGCAGCCGAGTACCTTAGCTACTAGACCACCGCGGCGGGGCACTTTGCAATGATTACTGTGGCTTTTGTACGCCCCGTACTACAACAGAATCGTTGCAGTGCGAACGCAACGCCAGCCGACACGTATAATCCTCCCCACCGGTATATAAGGATGCGTGAGAGATTGCCCGCTCCCCTACTATCCGCAGGACAAAGTATGCGTGAGAGATGAGAGTCGCCGCGCACTCATTGCGCCATCTTTCTGATAATTCTGAAAACACGATAGTCTGCCCCCCCCCCCCCCCCCCGAGATGTCCGCCAACAGCGGTCAGTGGTAGATATAAATAGCTTGCCGTTTGAACGATGGAGAAGGTGCCCCTCGGCAGCTCAGTGATTGACGCCTAGCATTCACGACGTGGAGGTCCCACATTCGATTCCGCGCGCCGGAGTATTTTAACGCAATAGCGTTCGCGAGCTCGTGTCGCAGAAATTCCGCCGTCGGCGTCGGCACCGTTGAGTGTGAGTGAAAAATCGTCTGTGAGGGAAAAATCCAGAAAGAAGCAAATAAAATAAAGAATGAAATTTTTGGTCCTATTGAAGATCGAACCCGGGCTGCTTTCGTGGCAAGCAAGTGTTCTACCACTAAGCCATGATGCTACTTGCAGCTGTTTCGGAAACAAAAAACACTAGATAAGTGACATGTAGTAGAAGGAGTCTCCTTAACGCATTTTGTTCGACAGGTGTCATGACGAAAATGAGCCCATTCGGTGATTTGTAGGCGCATTTGGGAGGCCATCAAAGTACGTCGAAAAAGGCCGTGTTAGTGCAGCCATTGCTGCAAAAAACACACAGGAACTTTCAAACTGCTCTAAAAATGGACAACTATGTCCATCTAGCGGAAAACATATCAAGCCTTTCCAGAGGCGTTGATCAAGCGAACAGCAAACGCTATATTGTGCTACCATCAGTGAGGCATTTTAAGACACTTTATGGCGAGTGCGCGGCGTATATCTTGGAGGCCATGTGATTCTTGCTTTAGATCAAAAACCTGTATGTACCATTCGTGCGCGCGCGCTGTTACGATCTACTGTGTGTGTGTGTGTGTGTGTGTGTGTGTGTGTGTGTGTGTGTGTGTGTGGTGTGTGTGTGTGTGTGTGTGTGTGTGTGTGTGTGTGTGTGTGTGTGTGTGTGTGTGTGTGTGTGTGGTGTGTGTGTGTGTGTGTGTGGGTGTGTGTGTGGTGTGTGTGTGTGTGTGTTGTGTGTGTGTGTGTGTGTGGTGTGTGTGTGTGTGTGTGTGTGTGTGTGGGTGTGTGTGTGTGTGTGTGTGTGTGTGGTGTGTGTGTGTGTGTGTGTGTGTGTGTGTGTGTGTGTGTGTGTGTGTGTGTGTGTGTGTGTGTGCGTGCGTGCGTGCGTGCGTGCGTGCGTGCGTGTGTGTGTGTGTGTGTGTGTGTGTGTGTGTGTGTGTGTGTGTGTGTGTGTGTGTGTGTGTGTGTGTGTGTGTGTGTGTGTGTGTGTGTGTGTGTGTTGCCCAAATGGCACGGTACAACTCTTGCAGTTAGTCCTCGTGAGGAGATGGTTTCAGGAATTATTGCTCCTGTTAAATTCTCCAAAAATCAAATGTCCAATTATCCGGTTATTAACAGGCGTTTTAGAAAACGCTAAAAAAAACAAAAAATGGAGGTTGCAGAGAGGTCGGTCTATTATTCTTCTATTGGGTGACTGCGCCTTTTCTCTCGCCTTCTTTCTCGCTAGACTGGCGTACCAAGCAAACTAACATTATTTCGCTTATTTAACATTTATTGCGCAGAGAACGTTTTCAAGCAGACAGAATCTGACACAATATATCGTTAAAAAATGGAAGAGTTCATAAGCGTATTGGTAAAACTATAATTAAGCTATGCGGCCCTTTTGTTTTCGACGCCACGCATTGCAGAAATAAAGGAAAAAAAAGTCCGACTAGGTAACAAAAGTGGTCACGAAACGCAAATTCTATCGAATGGCGCATAAAAAAAATGTAGTAGCCATGATATGAGGAATGATTTTCCTACTACTGCTTTGCTTTTTACTTCTTTTTTTAAGCGGCCGATGAAAGGGGTGTTACTCTGTGCTTTGCCTTCAGCTGAGAAATTATAGCGGCATGCATGCAGTGGAAAACAACTGCAGAAAAGAAAGACTACATCTCAACAATGGTTCGGCTTGATGCCAGGTATATGCTCTATTTGCAATAATTTATTTTTCGCTGTAGAATGGAGAACCTCCTCATTGCTCTGCTGGAAGTGAAGGCCTGTCAACAGATGTTTTGGTTCGTGCGTACTGCCTCGCTTGAGCAGGGAAATGTGAAAGATGGCTAATTTCCGCAAAAGTGTTAAGCATACCTCCTCTTTTTCTATTCCTTTCCCTCTTTCTTTTTTCGCAAAGAGGTGCCTTGACTGCCTCTTGGACGACCACGTGTACCCCAGTTGGTTTTTATTGGAAGCAGTCTGTCGTTGCCTTTTGAAAATCTTCAGTCGACCTTATTTACAGGGACACTTAAACAAAACTCTAAATCACTCAAGAATTACAACTTATCATTCCAGGGCCCTGTTGTCGTAGATTTCCTTGTCATGGGTTCGTTGTTGAAAAAATGAATTGGTCAAATCAATGCATTAGAAACGCTTGCTATAACTTCAGCCCCTGAATTTTATTGTGACGTCACATACTTTGGAGGTTTTTTTCCCTCGTGTTTACTCTCATTTGCACAATAAACTTAACTGTGTCAAGTCCCTGGCTCCCTTGGGGTGCAATGTCATACATTTTACCGATAAACATTTTTGTAGCGTCTTGCCGACGCCGTCACAATACACAGCCTCACGGTGTGTTGGTGTGAGAACTTTAAGGCGGAGTCGCCACCTGAGTTTCCGTATTGAGCGTCTTCTCGCTCATACCAAGCGTCTTATCGCAGCGAGAGTGGTGCTTTTGGTATTTTGAAAGTGTAATTTAACAATACGAGCAGAAATTTTTGTTTCTTTTAGCGTTTCCTAAGACGCCTGTTAATAGTCGTCGCTTGGTCATACGTCACTCTGGTCAGTATAGCAGCAAAACATTCGAGAATCATATGCCACCGAAAAACCAACGTAGACAGCGAGAACAATTATAAGGACTAGCGCTGGTGGCAGCTTCTTTCATTGACGATGATGATGACTTGCCTGGAATTATAGCTTTACTATAACCGTAATTCACGGTGACCATTGTCTTCTACGACTTGACCTCTTGAGTTGTAGACGCGGTACGCATACCAATTTGCGCACCTTGGTGGCAGGGGTACCGCGCAGCAGCTCCGTGTTTTCTTTGCCGTTTTCTTTTACGTCAGTATTCCGTACTCGCTGGTATATATGTATATCTGTATTTAATTATTCCTGCAAACAGTCCCCGCGACGATAGTTCTTCAGCTGGCACGTGAAGTTTTGAAATGTGGAGCCCCCGAACTACGACATCGTCACTGCGAATATGCAAATAGTGCGATGAAGCTAAAGCAGAAGTTTTATTTTTTTTACGTACTTCGACCTATCAACGAGTCGACAGAAGCGAATAAGGCAGGCTCGATCGAAGGTCGAAAATGGCTGTGCGGCCCCGACCTGGAAGCCCGTTCGATCCATCAGGCACACTATTATCAGCAATAGAGCTGCGCTGGTTCGCTGCGAGTGTTGCAGTATACAAAACATACGGGCACATAACCGGAAGAGGGACACTTCTTGTGTGTTCTGTCTGTGTTTTGCATGATTTAGGTGTGGGTAATTAATGGGACGCAATGCTCGAGGCTGAAGTTGACTCATCACTCTTCCGACACTATTCCAGCCTTATGGGGTACACGGGGTGGGCGCGTCTCGTGCATGCGTTCGAAGCGAGTCTTCTGGCCTCACTTCAGTTGCTAACACGAGTAAAATAATCGCATGCTTTAGCAACCGAGCTCGTGAAATACTGCAAGTGGGTTACTTGCGGTTGGTTCTTTTGGCTAATAAGTTTTTTTTTTTTTTTTGGCTTGTTGGTTGTCACCTTGCGCAACATGGTCCTTAAGGTGTGTGCGCATGCTGTATCAAATTAAAAACAGAGTGACGTTTTTTTTTTTGCGTGTACCGCGTTGGTGACGGCCAAGCGTAGTGACAGCTATGCTCATGCCCGTTCGCAGAAGTCCAAGCGCAGACCCCCGGAGCATCACCACCACCACTTCGCCTCCGACCACGGCGGCGGAACTCAGGTCGGCAGTTTACCAACAGTTTTGCGCCTATCGTGCTGCTTGGCGTGCTTGCTGGACATTCCCGTACTAATCGGCCCGGATCTCTTTCCCTGTCTCTCTCTTCTCCCCTACCCTTACTGGTCTGTCTCATGCTGCCGCTAACCCACTGGCCGCCCACTGCAGGGGGACAGCGCATTCGAAACGTCCTACGACTTCGTAAGCAACCGCATGCTTCTGCATCTTGTTTGTACTTTTTTTCTTACACTGGCATGCACGCCACCGGTATTTGTATATATCATGTTTGGAAATCACTGTTACTGCGCATCGTAGCTGGCCACGTAGGAGGTGCCTAGCAGAGCGACCTATACTTTACGGATGGCGTTGTGGCGAAAGCTGTTAATTGTTACCTGGCTAGCGCTGAAGGCGAGGCCAACCTAGACTAAAGCGATAGGCAGGGCTCATTGGTTTTGTCCTTGAAAGCTGTGTGCGAATAGGCTTCAGCGCGTTCCGGCTTTGTGTATTGCCAAGCTATAGACGTAATAGTGTTCTTGCTTTTGGTATATAGTTGCGACATCTTCAGTATCAGTAGTTGACTTGCATAGCGTCAGCATCGCGACAACACAAGAACGCATATACAGGATGGAAGCCTCAAATCCCTTTCAAGTGTATTGCATATGGCGAACGCGCAATGCTGGTACGCGAGTGCTAATGCGAGCCCTGAAGCGATGTTTAAGGGCTCGCTGATCGAGCCTGCATTCGGCTATACGTAGTTGCGGACTCGATATGCAGCCTAATTTTGGTGTTTCCGGCTGTGTTCATGGACTTCGGAAGGCATGGAAGTCGGCCCGATGAATTCCGCGTGTTATATATTTTTTCATCGTTGATTGATTTGTGGGGTTGAACGATTTTTTTTTCATCGTGTTAGCTTTGCGTGGCCTTATAGTAAATACTTAGGAGAACGATGAATTGAGCTAAATTTTATTTATACAAACACCCCCTCGGCGCAACTCTGAATGTGCGTCAGCTTATCAGGAGCTCCGACTGCAAAATAATAATTACACTGCCATTTGTCGGTGGCGTTTTATTTCTAACAGCCACGTTTAATCTGTTTTGATGTTACTGGGCCAACTTTATTTGTCATAAGGATCGACAAAAACTTGATTTAATAGAACAGCAGCACAAAAAAAACGGGCAAAGAGCTCGAAGAAGATGGGACGGGAGTCTTCTCTTAGTTTGGTCTGCTCGTTTTCAAATCTGCTTTCATGTAAATTCAAAACAACTAGCCAAACACTATGCATTGACTGCTGAATGTTGTTGTCCGATCCTCGATTTCGTTTTCTTACCGTATATTGAAAAGTTTGTTACCAATGTCACGGTGCTGAAAATGAAAATTGGAAGCGGCGGGACCGAATGCTCAACTATTTTCGTGCTGAGACTCTCTCGCCACAACATCGATCGATTCGGTCGGAGGAATGTGTCACGGTATAGAACGAAGATGAAACATTATATACAGAGTATGTGCCGGATGGTGCCGGATAAATTTGGCACCGACGAAGTCACTTACTCTTCGTTCGTCAGACTTGAAGTCCTATATAACGTGCCGGCTGTCTGTCTGCCTTTCGTCTCGTCAAAAACGCCTGCCGCGGCGATCGGAAATCGAGATGCATGCCTCTCTCTATACGAGACTGCCGCATATGCCGGCTGGAGTGGTCTTTTATCCGAGCGAGCGTCTAGAGAGAAAAAAAAAAAGTCGTTACAACGTATTCGTGTAGCACTTTCTCCTGCGACAGCTTTCGGTGACGTGAGATTTCGCGCGTTCTTCTTTTTTTTTTCAGACAACAAATGTGGTGAAGCTGTCACAACTCGCGAACACGCAATCCACGAGCACTTCACGCGCAGTATGGAATAAATTGTCCTTTCGCAGTCTGCAAAATTGTCTGCGCCGTTACTGCCTATTGTCGTTGGTGCGTTACGATGGAATACGGAAACGTGTTACAACGATCGGCCTCGCTTTCGCGAAGACGAGAAATAGGTTTAATTAACATTAGATTGCGTATACCTACTTTTATTTTATGTGACCGTGGTTGTATCTATAACGAGGGACGCTGCAGTGAGTTAAAAAATTCGGATTGATTCTGGAAAAAAATGCCTATGCACACGAGTGGTATTTTCTTTCCTACTTTTTTTTCTCGCGTTCTGGTTCTATCGGACGTGCCGCTGTCACACATGTCCCGTTAATTAGGGAGGCGATCGCCGGGCTGATTCCAAGGGCCGAAGTATTGGCCCCCCGAACCGCACCACGAAAGCGTGGACAATTTAGAAGTGGTCCTTTTTGGCGCGCCAGCGGACGCCGGCTGTGGCCCAAAGAACAAGTCAGAGTCGAGAGTTGATAAACAAAACAAAGATTATATTCTCAAAAATGGCAGATCGAAAACAATACGCAAGAATGCACACTCCACAATAGTTACATACAATACGTCACCAATTAAACAACGTACTACACAGTACAATCAGCCACACTCAAAACAACGGACATAGACAACGAACGATACGCTCTACAATGCAGTCGCATGCATTGAACAACCAAGACACTTAAAGACTAAAGAGATAGAAACCTATCCAGTCCAAAGTTCTTGGAACAAAAGTCTGGATGATACTCTTCCGAGAATCACTCACTCCAAGTCCAGCGTTGTTGTCGTTCCGCGCCCTCGAAGTTTCTCTTCCAGGAAATCTCGCGCCTTCAATTGGCCACTCTCCAAGCTTCAAACTTCTTCGCCCGAACACGTCGGCTTCACACACGCAGCTGTCGCCACGCGTCTTCGCTCGATAGCGGTAAACACACATTCTTGCCTGTACCTCGAGTCGTCACCCCTCAGGCGGAAATCCCCTTCATCTCCTGCTTCGTCCCTACGGACAAAAACCTTCGCCGACTACACGGCGGTATACCCTACGCGCTTTGGCGCTAACTTCCGTCTCCTCCTGATCTCTCATCTCGGCTGCTCGGTTAAATACCTTGCGCGCGACATTCCAGACGGTTCTCGTCATTTCGTCGGCGCGATACGCAGCGAAGGCTGGGAAGAGGGCGAGACGGTTGGAATGCCCTCCGCGGCGGATGACTCAACTCGGTATGACCACGCCCCTTTCGTTCTGGAACTTTCGCGGGCTATCTCGGCCGCCGATGTGGGGTGAGGAGGTTCGTCGGCGAAGCCACGCTTTCGCGGGGAGAGGGAGTCGCGCGCCCGGGGAGCCTTGGATGTTTGTTTTCTTTTTTTTTCTTTTGACCTCGCGGTGCTCTCTCGCGCGTTATCGCAAAAATTTGGCGGCGCGCCCATTTTTAGCGCTCGTTCTGTGACACTGCCCCCCACTTTAAGAATATTATCTCATAATATTCAAAACCACACAAACGAGCGCGAACAGTCACCACACACTCTGAAAGACTGTAACACAAACCGTCGCTCATGACACTTCACATTCACAATATATCACTCAATACAATTGGACATTACAATTCAACCTCATACACATGAAATATAACCTCAGGTACATGACTACAACACTTCATGACACATTCCAAACAATACAAACGTACAAAGTTCTGTCTTTACAACAATTATACAACACTATACATCACATCATCGCACAACACTTTGACTCGCTCGACATACACTTGAGACACAGATAACAAGAACATTAACACAACATATGTCACTCAGCCCTGCCAGACACATTCCGATTCCACCTCCGCACCTATCCTGTGTATTTCGAGCTGCGCTTGCGTCCTTTCTTGTGGTGCTCGCTCGATCTCTTCTTGTTTTTCCTTGTCCTTTTTCGGCGAGCCTTTTCCAACGGCGGTATCTGAGGCAGCGTCTATGCCATCGTTGTCACTTCCGACCCTGCTAACGGGTCATGACGTTCGACGGGTCCTGTCTGTTTATTTACCAGCTTGTTCATGTCTCTACATTTGGCCCGGCTGGCCAACTCCGTCTCCTTTGCACTGTCGGTCGGTTGAGGTCGTGCCGACGTAAGTCCAGTAGCCCGGCCCATGAACTCGTTCAACACGATCATCTTATCATTCATAGTCCCTTGCACCGCGGCTTCACCTTGGGCTCGAGTGGGATCCGTCACGGGTTGCTCCTCCACTGTATCTCGCGGTTCTTGGGTTGGCGAGGGCTCTATCTTAAGGTCTTCTCCCAAACATTCCAGATCATTCGGTCCTCGCGCCCAGTCGATGTTTCCGATGACAAGGTCGTAAAGGGGGGTCGTCATACATAGAGCCGTAACCTTCCCGCTGAAGTATGGGGTTTCAACCTCAATCTCTGCTTCGGGAAGCACCCGAACCGTTCGGTCAATTAGGCAAACCGGTTTCGTTCTGCCTGTCAACTCACTTTCCCGTACCAAATTTCTCCGCACGATAACCGTGGAGCTACCGGTGTCTCTTAGAACCGTAATATTCTTGCCTGCAACCTTTCCAGGCAGCGTTGGCATTCCCGTCGTAACACCGGTTGGCTGTTTTGACATTACAGCACCCACAATAGGAATCTTCTCCCCACTTTTCAACTCTACGAATCCATCTGTGACGGCATTATCATCGGATTTCGGTGCTGCTAGTACACAGGATACCTGGTGAGTTTGACTCGCTCCGTTTCGACATGCGTCTGCTTTGTGCCCAGTCTGACCACACTTAAAACATTTTGCTGCCGTAGGGCTCGTAAAGATCGTTCGACAGTTTTTCGCGCGATGACCCACTCGGTTGCACAGAAAACATCGCGGAGTGCTCTCTGGTGCACGCTTCTTTTCTTCGGGAGCCAATTTCTTCGTATCATCGGGACACTCCTTCTTGACCTTGGCCAAATTAGTTCCACCTTGCGCTTCCAAGAATTGATCAGCCAATTCAAGCATTCCTTCAAGTGACTCAGCCTTCCTCTCTTTCAAATACAGCGACAGGCTTGGGTGGCAACTAGTAAGAAATTGTTCTCTAATTAGGAGCTCTCTAAGTTCATCGTACTCCTGCGCTGTCCCGGAAAGTTCAATCCATCTGTCGAAATAATGGCAAAGTCGGGCGGCATACTGCGTAGCCGTCTCACCATCAGCTGGCTTTCCTGTCCGAAATCTGTCCCGGAATCTTTCTACAGTAAACCTAAATCGCTTCAGCAAAGCAGCTTTCACCTTTGCATAGTTGGCTGCATCGGTCGGCGTCAGCCTACCGTACACACTGA